CTCTCTCGCTGTGTCTCTGTGTCAAATAAATAAATAAATAAAATCTTAAAAAAAATTCCAGAAACAATAGAAAGTAGGGGTCCTTTTAGCCATTGCCAGTATTAAAAGATGATATCAGGAAAAGGTTGTGAACACTTTTACATTCTATCAACCCTGTATAAGGCTGTTGTTGGAGTCAAACACCTTAATAATCACATTAGGGATGGACAATTTAGCATTTAGGTCAGTGATTAGCAAATAGGTCCTCTATCAATGTTTGTTAAGTAAGTAAGAAAATCCATGACTTATGGTTCTATTTTCTACTTCTATTTTCAAATCTCATGATTTATTAGCATAAGATGTTATGGTCTCGTTACTAAAATGGCTGGCTACTTTACAGAGAGAGTAATTTGTCCTTTGTTCTTGCTGCTATAGATGTTTTTCCCCTTCTCAGGTTGAGAATGAAGCCAGATCTTGCATTTCTTTGCCTAGGTGCCTTTTGTGTTGCAGGAGGAAGCAGCAGTTGCCAGGCAAGAGAACACAACTTCCTCCTTCGCAGGCTTTTTTTTTTTTTTTTTTTTTGCAATAGCCTTGGCTCAGGGAGAATTATATAGAAAGTGATAGAGGTAAGTGCTTTAAGTTTACAGGAGAAAGCTGTGGAATCCAAGGGGAGAGGAAGATACCTGAGACTAAGAGATGGGGCAGGGTTCTAGGAGGGTTTCTGGTTTATAGGCATCACCCCAGGAAGGGGACTGGACAATGTCAGGATGGTGAAGTCCAAGTGTGTGGCCTTGGAAGCCATGCACAGATGTCCTCTGCCTACCTTCAGGAGACCATGTGGGAATGGACAGTGTGTTTACTGGAGACCAGTGTGGACAGCAGCCTAGACTCGACCCTTATCCAACTCTTCCCACCAATTACGTTCTGGGACCTTTAGTAATACCTGAGAAGGTGAAGAACCTTACCAATGAATGAGACTGAATTTCCCACCAACTGGATGGTTAAAGGCTCAGCATGGGATAAGATTGTTTAGAATACATTTCAGGCTAAATGCAATGGTATCATTTATGAAAGTGCTTGCTTGGACAATGACCAGTCCATAGCATGAAATGAACAGGTGTTCACCAAACATGAGAACTAGATGTGACTTCTATGTTCATCTAGTCCAGACTCTTCATTTTTAGATTATGAAACCATGGTTTAAGACTTAAAATAGCTTGTTCCAAGTTGTTGGTCTGAAGCCAGGGCAGAGCTGAGGCAGGGTGTCATCAACCTTCAGCTCACTTTTCTTTCTAGTTTGTCACTTGAGAAATTCAGATCTATTTGTGGTGATCAAATACATTATTATTTCATCATGGCCATGAAGAGTTCTCATCAAAGTAAATCTCTTACTTTTAAGATAAAATAAAGAAATCGGAACTATAAAAGTATCTAGGTCTGATGATGGTAGAGGTAAAAAAGAAGAAACGTGGCTGCCTGGAATTTCTAGTTATTTCCCATTATAGAAGTTGTGGGGAAAATGACCCGAGCTACCATTACAGTAGTTGATATTACAGGTTCTGAGAATGAAATACCTCTCTCTAAGGCAGTTTCAATACAGCTATGTGCATGTATGTGTCTTAGCACATATACGCACATACAGAAATCTGTTAGCTACCAAACACTGGGTAGGAGTTTCTTTTCAGGAGCGTGTACATGTTTGTATTAAATCTACTTAACAGCTAAGGAAATGATTTATTTATACCTTCTAATTGGGTCTTACTTCTTAAGAATCATCCTACATGATACTACTTCTAGTTTAATTGTCCTCATTTTCCAGTCTTCTTTAATCTATGTCTTTGTCACACATTGTAAGCTTTTGCTCTTTGCAGGAAAAAAGCTGATTGGAGTTCGATTTCTTCTTTCTTTCTAGACATCCATGCCAGAGAGTGTAACTATCCTTTGCAGAAGAGCCTCCTTCTAGCCGAGAATGAGAAGCCTGCACTACAATGAAGAGTGTAACCATCAGGAGACCTAACCAGGTAACCTGGGGTTCATTCTTCAGTCCCTGTGAGCTCAGACCCTGCTCTAGAGAGGCTCGAAAGGAAGGGTGTGGGGAGGGTGATGTCCACATGGTGAAAGCCTGTCCTTCGAATGAGGCATCACTGAGAGATGCTGTGTCCCAGGAGGATGGTCCGGTGTGTCCGCCCTTAGCCAGCCATCTATTCAGATGTTCCGATAGGGGTCCCTGTGCCAGCAGGGCCCGTGGCGGAGGAGGGTAAACAGCAGCATCACTAGGACACCAGACACCAGGCAAAAGGCAACGGCAAGGGTGACCCTTAGAACTGTGGAAAAATTGGAAGAGCAATAATGTAAAATTAATGGATTAGGAAAATATAAAGATTGTAAAATTAATAGGTGAGCAAAATAGGAAGAGCACACATCAGTGCCTTGACTGTAAACTTCAATGGCATTTCTGAAGCAACCTTGAAATCAGCATAGTGTTGTTGTTTTTTTTTAAGATTTTATTTATTTGACAGAGAGAGACACAGCAGGAGAGGGAACACAAGCAGGGGGAGTGGGAGAGGGAGAAGCAGGCTTCCCGC